CCCCAAAACCCCAAAACCCCAAAACCCCAAAACCCCAAAACCCCAAAACCTCCTAAAATCCATACAATATTTATAATAAATCTTGGTTAATATTAAGCTTGGCTTCAAGCAACTGTAAAAGTTTGGTTCCTTTATTTCCCTTGTGTGCCAAGGGGATTTTGATAAAGTTAGCACTAGGGGTCTCTGACCACTGAACAAATTGAGAGGGTGTAACTTACTCAGAAGGAAGGAGAAGGGAGATTGGAGGTAAGAGAGGATGGCGAGATTCTGGTTTCAGGAGATTTGAGCCTTTTTAGATTTTTGAGAATTTTGGTCAAATTTTTGGGTTTTGGAAATGTGGTCTTTCGTGGGCTGATGTAGTGATGGAGAGTGTTGGAGGGGGAGTTGATTGATGAATTTGATACTCCAGGTTTTAGATTTGAGGTGATGGTTATCTCATTGCTTTGGATAATCTCTTTACTTTTTATGAAATTATGGGTCATGTGGTACCTATGATGTGATTGTTTAAGTATTATGTAATAAGAATATTTAAGTATTATCACGAAAAATCACTTACAAATTCTTCTTCTTAGGAGGAAGACTAATTGTTTGGTTCATCTTTTTCTCCTTTTCAAATTTTATATCTTTATTAAAACGACTCTTTTCAGGGTTGATTCTAATGAATTAACTAAAATCTAGATACCTGGGCCTTTGCTGAGCTCCTTGAGATCTTATATCTCTAAATACTACAAAATTCAGACATGATTATACCTATTGACTTAAGTCTCTTCAGATTGCTAGATTGTTTGTTTCTTTGCTTTGACGAACTAAATATTCTCCTTGCTAAAATAGTAGCGATAAATACCTTTAGGCTTCTTATTTATCTAAAAATTAACTCAGAAATTTACTTCTCCGAGTTGCGTCTAATTGGCTACTAAATGAGGTGAGGAAACTCGTCCTCCTGTAAGCATTAAATTTGTCTGTAGATTTTCTCTCATCCAAAATGTTTCAGAATCTCTCTTGATGTTTGATAAAGGCATTAGAGTTGAAAAATCTTTTGATCTATGGCTTTAAGTAGTAGCATTACCGCCTTCTTTTTAGTCAATACCTCTGTCTTGTATTGATTACGAGCCCCTTCATGTTTGTTCCTTGATCTTCTTGAAGAATTTGGTAAATTCTTCTTCTTAAAAGGTTGCTCTTGCAAAGAGTCCAAAGTCAATGAGCTATCTTCCCTTGTAGGCGGTTTGCTTTTAATCGGACTCATTCTGCCTCCTATATGAATTATAACGCTCAAGGCCATACTTTGATGTGCATTGAACTCTTGTGCTGTGACCAATCCTTTGAGTTTCATTCTTGCTTTCTTGGTCAATGGGAATTGTTCCTATAAGTGAATTCACCAACAAAATATGAAAAGCCCCATTGAATGAAAAAGTATCAAAAGATTACATTATTTAAGTTCATTGAAGAATTGATCGTCCTTGATCAATTGTCTGTATGATAAGTTGGGTATTTACTCATATTCCATAATCAGGTTACTTAATTTTATTGTCCCACCCAGCTTTCAGCTGTAGTGGTTCAATAAATATCTCTGTCAGGTAATCAGTGAATATCTCCTTATCTTGAAACACCAAATATTTGGAATTACTCAATAATTTCAAGTGAGAAATAATGTTCTTATTTTAAGTTCTGCTGGATGATAAAGTCTGTAATCCCCAGTCCTTTAGCTATTGATTCTCCTTGAGTGTATTTATAAACCTAGAGAAAGTGTGAAATATACATACATCTTTCCAGACTTGTTTGTAATGACTAGCCCTTTTTATAAGGCTAGCTTGGTCCTGGAATTGGAATCTTGGCCCGAAAGGGTTGATAAATCCACCCTTATTGCCAAGCAAGTTCTCGATTTCCCTTGTGCTTATTTTGACTCTTTCTAAAGCAGGATTAAAACCTATGTAAGCTACCTCTGTCTTGAATAGTTTTATTTTCTAGTCTTTATGATGTGCTGATTTTCTAAAATATTGACGCAAACATACTATTAAGCTCTCTTTTGAAAATCTTTTGCTCTAAATTAAGGAAGTTATGAGGCTGGTGAACTACTGCTAGAGGGTACCTTTAGTAGACTCTTCCTAAAGATCAGGTGAACTTCTTACCTTTATCAAATCCATTTTAATTATAATTTTAAATAATTCTCAGCTCATATTTGATATTTTGGGGTTTTGGGGTTTTGGGGTTTTGGGGTTTTGGGG